ATTTCATATGTACGAACTTAACTCTAGAACCACATGACCGAAAACCCTGTGGAACCTCGACTTGCTCGCCCTCGTTGTGACACACGTATGTGTCACAAATAGCTCGCTTAGGCAATAGGGCCCAGGGGTGGTGGAGAGCTCACACCATGGTACCTCTATAGTACATTTTGAGTCATTTTTAATCAATCAGGCATAGACATAATTTTGACGAACAGTCATACGGTGGCATGGAGCGGTAGTCTGGTGTCCGATTGACACCAAATTTGGCAAGCATTCATATCTCATATGTACGAACTTAACTCTAGAACCGCATGACCGAAAACCTTTTGGAACCTCGACTTGCTCGCCCTCGTTGTGACACACGTATGTTAGAACCGCATGACCGAAAACCTTTTGGAACCTCGACTTGCTCGCCCTCGTTGTGACACACGTATGTTCCGCAGGGTAGCTCGCTTAGGCAACAGAGCCCAGGGGTGGTGGAAAGCTGACACCATAGGAATCCTATAATACATTTTGAGCCATTTTTAATTCATCAGGCATAGACATGATTTTGGCGAACGGTCATACGGTGTCATGGAGCGTCAGTCTAGTGTTCGATTGACACCAAATTTGGCGAGCATTCATATTTCATATGTACGAACTTAACTCTAGAACCGCATGACCGAAAACACCAAATTTGGCGAGCATTCATATTTCATATGTACGAACTTAACTCTAGAACCGCATGACCGAAAAACCTTTTGGAACCTCGACTTGCTCGCCCTCGTTGTGACACACGTATGTGTCACAAATAGCTCGCTTAGGCAATAAGGCCCACGGGTGGTGGAAAGCTCACACCATGGTACCCCTATAGTACATTTTGAGTCATTTTTAATCCATCAGGCATAGACATAATTTTGACGAATGGTCATACGGTGTCATGGAGCGGTAGTTTGGTGTCCGATTGACACCAAATTTAGCAAGCATTCATATCTCATATGTACAAACTTAACTCTAGAACCGCATGACCGAAAACCTTTTGGAACCTCAACTTGCTCGCCCTCGTTGTGACACACGTATGTTCCACAGGGTAGCTCGCTTAGGCAACAGAACCCAGGGGTGATGGAAAGCTAACACCAGGGTGCCCCTAGTACATTTTGAGCCATTTTTAATTCATCAGGCATAGACATGATTTTGGCGAACGGTCATACGGTGTCATGGAGCGTCAGTCTAGTGTTCGATTGACACTAAATTTCGCGAGCATTCATATTTCATATGTACGAACATAACTCTAGAACCGCATGACCGAAAAACCTTTTGGAACCTCGACTTGCTCGCCCTCGTTGTGACACACGTATGTGTCACAAATAGCTCGCTTAGGCAATAGGGCCCAGGGGTGGTGGAGAGCTCACACCATGGTACCCCTATAGTACATTTTGAGTCATTTTTAATCAATCAGGCATAGACATAATTTTGACGAACGGTCATACGGTGGCATGGAGCGGTAGTCTGGTGTTCGATTAACACCAAATTTGGCAAGCATTCATATCTCATATGTACGAACTTAACTCTAGAACCGCATGACCGAAAACCTTTTGGACCTCGACTTGCTCGCCCTCGTTGTGACACACGTATGTTCCGCAGGGTAGCTCACTTAGGCAACAGAGCCTAGGGGTGGTGGAAAGCTGACACCATGGTGACCCTATAGTACATTTTGAGCCATTTTTTATTCATCAGGCATAGACATTATTTTGGCGAACGGTCATACGGTGTCATGGAGCGTCAGTCTAGTGTTCGATTGACACCAAATTTGGCGAGCATTCATATTTCATATGTACGAACTTAACTCTAGAACCGCATGACCGAAAACCCTGTATTTGGCGAGCATTCATATTTCATATGTACGAACTTAACTCTAGAACCGCATGACCGAAAACCCTGTGGAACCTCGACTTGCTCGCCCTCGTTGTGACACACGTATGTGTCACAAATAGCTTGCTTAGGCAATAGGGCCCAGGGGTGGTGGAGAGCTGACACCATGGTACCTCTATAGTACATTTTGAGTCATTTTTAATCAATCAGGCATAGACATAATTTTGACGAACGGTCATACGGTGTCATGGAGCTGTAGTCTGGTGTCCGATTGACACCAAATTTGGCAAGCATTCATATCTCATATGTACGAAATGGAGCTGTAGTCTGGTGTCCGATTGACACCAAATTTGGCAAGCATTCATATCTCATATGTACGAACTTAACTCTAGAACCGCATGACCGAAAACCTTTTGGAACCTCGACTTTCTCGCCCTCGTTGTGACACACGTATGTGCCACAGGGTAGCTCGCTTAGGCAACAGAGCCTAGGGGTGGTGGAAAGCTGACAACATAGTGCCTCTAGAGTACATTTTGAGCCATTTTTAATTCATCAGGCATAGACATGATTTTGGCGAACGGTCATATGGTGTCATGGAGCATCAGTCTAGCGTCCGATTGACACCAAATTAGGCGAGCATTCATATTTCATATGTACGAACTTAACTTTAGAACCGCATGACCGAAAACCTTGTGGAACCTCGACTTGCTCGCCCTCGTTGTGACACACATATGTCCCACAAATAACTCGCTTAGGCAATAGGGCCCAGGGGTGGTGGAGAGTTGACACCATGGTACCCCTATAGTACATTTTGAGTCATTTTTAATCCATCAGGCATAGATATGATTTTGGCGAACGGTCATACGGTGTCATGGAGCTGTAGTCTGGTGTCCGATTGACACCAAATTTGGCAAGCATTCATATCTCATATGTACGAAATTAACTCTAGAATCGCATGACCAAAAATCTTTCGGAACCTCGACTTGCTCACCCTCGTTGTGACACACGTATGTGTCACAAATAGCTCGCTTAGGCAATAGGGGGGTGGAGAGGTGACACCATGGTACCCCTATAGTACATTTGAGTCATTTTTAATCCATCAGGCATAGACATGATTTTGGCGAACGGTCATACGGTGTCATGGAGCGTCAGTCTGGTGTCCGATTGGCACCAAATTTGGCAAGCATTCATATCTCATATGTACGAACTTAACTCCAGAACCGCATACCCGAAAACCTTCTAGAACCTCGACTTTCTAGGTTAAGGCTCGGGACCCTACCCGACCCTTCAACAAGCCTATCTTTGCCCCTCTTGTCAATTCCATTTCTCTATCTTGCTTATGTCTCGACTTGTCTTCAATGCCCACTATGTGTGGTGTGTTAGATGATGCACTGGTCTCCTCGGTCGCATCATGACACTCGTCTAGGCCCTTGTGTGGTCGGATAGGAGCCACTTGAAGGTCGCCGCTTCTCTTGTCACAACCTACTTTCTTCATAGTTAGGTTGTGACACCCAGTGTCCACACTAGCTCCCATTCCCCCATCCAATCGATGTGGGATTTCTCAAGCCACCTCCCTTTCGATATCACAATCAAATGGTTGGAATAACCCAGTTGGTATTAGAGCTCCAAATTATAGATTCTGCATACTAGCCTACAAGGTAGGCCTGACATGTTCCATTTTCCAACCGTTGATGTCCCGTCACCGTCAAGTATGTCATACATAAGATAAGAAAAAGAAATGTCATTGACCGCATATATTATTACTACTTGACTATTATCAAATGTAATCCATGAATGAAAATGACATCATTAACTATATTATTGTTGCCTGACTTAATTCTATGTTTATTAAAAGGTAGAATATCCTATGATTTACATTGCATAAAATGATATTAATAGTAAATTTTTTTTTACAAAAATAAATGATATTAATAATACTTTTAAAATTTTATAAGTTTTTTTTAAACCGTATTAACCATATATATATTTAAATTTTTTAAATTTTTTTAAAAATCTTTTTAAAAAAGAAAATGATTGGAAAGAACGTGGGAAGTGGAAAATTCAAAATCTGTACTATTCCGGTTTTAAGGAGCAGCGCAGTCCAAACAAGGTCTTACTCGGCGGTCAAAGTTATCTGGTTGACCAAGAAACGAATTTCCCATATCCCTCTCCTGCCCTCCTCTTTGTTCTTTATTTACCATTCTGCCATTTCATTCTTTCCTTCTCACTCTCTCTTTTTAATTATAATAACCAACTTGAATTAAATTATGCATTTTAAAATTCTTTTTTTAATTAAATTATAATTTTTTCAAAGAGTTTTTAAGTATTTAAAAAAGTCTTTTTTAAGTAATTTTATTAAAGTTATTTTAAGTAAAGTTCCAAATTAATTTTAAAATTTTATATTAACTAAAACATTAGTAAACAATTAAGTCATAAAGTCAAACATTTGACTTTTTTTTTTACCTTAACCAATGTCTAATTTATGAAGAAACAAAATTAAAATATTGGTAAAATAATAATAATAATAATAATTTTCATTTTAAAAAAAAAACACATCTAAACATATTTTCAAAATAATTTTCTCACAATTTATTTTACAATAATTTCTTAAAATTAATATTTGAAATTATAATCTATACAAAAATAAATAAATAAATAAATTATTAAAAACTATCTTTTAATTTTTAAAAATTAGATAAAAAAAAAAGCTTAATATTTAAGTTTCTATTTTTTATTATAAATTATTAAGTTGGTTTTCCAAGCATTTATTTTACATGAAACTTTTAAATAAACCAAAAATAAAATTTAAAATTTAATTTTCCTTAAATTCAAAATTTGGAAAAAGGTTTTAAAAATGAATTAAAACAATATAAATTTGGAAAATGTCTTTTGTAACCTTTTAGTCTTATTCAATTTACTTTTTATAAATTTAAAAGATAATCAATTTTTTCAATATAAATTTAAAATTTGTTTAAAAATTAAATTATAATTTTGAAAAAATTAGAAACTAATTTTACGGGAGATTTATAAATTTAAATTTCAAAAATTAAAATCTAAAAATTCACAATAAATAACTAAATAAAAAAAAGTAAAATAATTAAAATCAGAGGGGCAAATTTGGAAAGTGAAGATTCGTGGAATACTAGTTGTCCTCTCACGCTATCTGGAGAAACTGCTTTCAAATTCCCTCTAAGCTCCCACCTCTGCAAGTTTCTCTCTACTTTCTCTCTCTACAAGAAATCGCCGAGTTCTTCGATTATTCGCCATGCAGGTAACGGATCCTTGAATTTTCAGTACTGTTCTTCCACTTTTTCTCTCTGATTTCTGTAATCAGCTTCAATTTTTCGCTTGGTTTTGATCTTGATTTATTCTACTCAGTCTCAGACGCGGACGGTTCAAGCCAGGAACGTGTCGGATCTAGCTACTGAGAGGGAGATTCATGAGTTCTTCTCCTTTTCTGGAGAGATTGAGCACGTAGAAATCCAATGGTAGGTGATTGACTGTGTTACTGTGAACAGAACTGCAAAAAGTGGAAAAGTTGAGATGTGTATGATTGATCGATTTCCTTTTCTATGCGGCTGATTTATTTTAGATTTTGTACTGTTTGGCATCCGAGAAAAAATAGTGAGCAATTATTAGCACGAGAGTTTTGTGGTTTTCCCCTGATTTTTTATTTTATTTTTTTTTTTTTTTGTTAAATATTTTCTTGTCGGTGCAGTGAGCAGGGGCAATCGAAGACTGCGTTCGTGACATTTAGAGATCCCAAAGCTCTTGAAATTGCCTTGTTGTTATCGGTATTTCATCGCCTTGATTCTCTTTCGTATCCACGAAGTCAGTTCTAGTGATGCGTTTGTTGAACTTGTTAACCCTTTTACAATGAATTTGAAAATGCGTCTAGTTGAAGTTTGGTTCATGTGGGTCTAAATTTAGTTATGTTTACCTTCTTATTTAAGGAAGGTTTATTTAAGGAAGGTTGTTAGGGCATGTTTATTTTGAAATGGTTAATTTCCTTTTGCAATTTTCAAAATCACTTCGAAATACGTCTTTAGTTGTTCAAAATCATGTTTGATTTTACTCTTTTAAAACAATTTTTCATATAATTAATATAGATTTTGAATCATTAAAACCATATTTTGGAGTGAAATTGATAATGGCAGAAGTGATTTAACTCTTTCAAAATCACTCCCACACTTGCCCTTAGTGTCCAGTTGGTTCTTTGTCCTTTTACGTTTCTTTCCTTCATTTTCTTGCCATTAGGTTTGATTGAATTGAGAAGTGAAATATGAGAAGAATCTCGTTATTTTTTTTGGGAAATACTTTTTATGTTAAAGATATTCAAGTTTTTAGAAGAAGATTTTCTACAGGTAACCTCAAACATAACAGCAGAAGTTTCGTATGAGCTAATATACGATTTCTTCATAGAAGCCACCCTGTGTTTGCATTTTGTCTTTCTGAACATACTCCATCCTTTCTAATAATAATTAAAAATAAAAAATGAAAAAAAAAAACAAGAAAAAATGAACCGGAGATGAGTTAACAAACTAATGTTTATAGAGGTTTTGGAAAAGTTTTTTATTTTTATTTTTTAAGAACTATGATGGATTTTTGGGTTATTTTTCATTTTGTATCACTTTTTAGAAGTCCATAATTTTGGAGTGAAAAACAACTCAAGGAAAGCAAGGATGGAAAAAGAGAAAAAAAAGAGGAGATTAGAGTAATGGTCGAAATGAAACTATTAGACTGAACTTTATGAACAGAAGTTTATAAACATCTGCATTGCTTTTACTTTTTGTTAAGAATAAAAGCATTGGTGAGAAGTAGTACTAAATGAACGTGTTTATAGAAAAAGAAGGAAGTTAATAGCTTTTTTCTGCATGATCATTTCTTTACATGAAACTATTAGACTGAACTTTATGAACAGAAGTTTATAAACATCTGCATTGCTTTTACTTTTTGTTACGAATAAAAGCATCGGTGAGAAGTAGTACTAAATGGACATATTTATAGAAAAAGAAGGAAGTTAATAGCTTTTCTCCGCATGATCATTTCTTTACGCAATAATGGAATTATTTGATCTTTTCTTCATGCAGTAATGAAAATATATCTTCTCTTCTCCATATCTCGCTGATGCCATAAGCCGCTATAAACAATTTATATTATTTATTCTTTTGCCACGCAGGGTGCAACAATTGTAGATCAGATAGTGAGCATATCTCCTGCAGAAAATTATGTACCGAGAAGAGAAATGCAGGTATTATTTTTGTGTTTGAATATATTTCCAGGTCTGTCGAGCCGTTTGTTCTATATCCAATGCTTTAAATTCTCTATGTTTGCAGGAAGTACGGGCTGTGGACAATGCTGCACCTCTCACTCCTACAGAAAATAATTTTCCTAGCATCGAGGTAAATGTGTTGATACCCTCAATGAATATCAAGTATTTGAGCAACATTTTCCTTCACGTTGATGTGCTATTAATGATAAACCAAGGCTGGGGAGTTTCATCAAATGAAAAAGTGTAGGACATGTTTATTGTTTCTGTCTTCAGTGTAGGACATGTTAACTATACAAGTGGATGGTGAGGCATTGTTTCTTTTTTCCCATCTAAAATCTCGTGTTTACAGGATTCTGCGAGCCAGCCTAGCAGTGGAAGAATGTATGTTAATAGAGCACAAGAAGTAGTTGCAAGTGTGCTTGCTAAAGGTTCAGCAATTGGACAAGATGCCATGAACAAGGCTAAAGCATTTGATGAAAAACATCAGTTAACAGCTAGTGCATCTGCAAAGGTATTATCCTTTGACAGAAAGGTTGGGCTCACAGAGAAATTGACAGTTGGGATTTCGGTGGTTAACGAGAAAGTCAAGTCTGTAGATCAAAAGCTTCATGTTTCAGATAAAACAATGGCTGCAATCTTCGCAGCTGAGAGGAAAATCAACGACACAGGATCTGCTGTCAAAACAAGCAAGTATGCATCTTGATTCTTGAGGAAACTTCAGTTGGCATTATCTTATCCCCTATGCAATTTTTACTTGCCTTCTGCTATATTCAAAATTTAGAACTCAAACATTCTTCACACCTCGCAAGAAAGCCAAAAATTAGTTTTCTAAAACTTCTCCCAAACAACTCCCTAGTGTTTCAATTTCTCGAGAACTTTAAACTGATATAGTCGTATATTTCTACCGTTCAAATAAATTGCAATGGTTCTACTATTCATTCTAAATAAAGCAGTTATGACAATAGACAGAAGTGACTTAATTGTTTCACTCCATCTTGGTGTCGAGCAGGTATGTGACGTCGGGTGCTGCTTGGCTAAACGGTGCTTTTGGCAAGGTTGCAAAAGCAGGGCAGGCAGCAGGTACAAAAACCAGAGAGAAATTCCATTTGGCTATGTCGAACTTAACCTCAAAGGTGCGTCTATGAAACCCTTTTCTCTATGATGACTTAAAAGTCATGATTCTTAGGAAAATTTCCTTGCTGTGAGTAGCTTAATTTAGCACATCTGTACCTAAGAACAATCGTAGACTACAGTTTTTATAAATTACTTACTCAAATATATATATTTTTTCTAGTTTTCTGTTTTTTAAACTCAATTTCCTATCATTCCTCTGCTATTATAGAATCAACCAAGTAATTATTTCAATGTTGGTTAATGTCCTTGGTGAATATAACTTCTTGTTCATAGTGAACCGAACTTCTTGATGCAGCGGATTCTGTAGCTTCAAATAGATTAAACCAAAACCATGCCCAAAAAGGAAAATTTCCCCAAATAAGAGAGCCATCTAAAACCTCATTTTGTTCATGTCTCCTTCAAAGAACCTAGGCTGTTTAAAGTCTTGAAAGAAAATGCAAGTAATTTGCCAAATCCATACCCAAGAATGAATAGTTCCCAATAAGAAAAAGCTCTCAAAAACCTCATTTCATTCTTGTTCAAAAGCTTCACCCAAGTTCGGCTATTTCGAGTCGTACAATATAACAGAAATAACCAATCCATCAAAAGTAACGAACTTAAATAACAATTTAACGCAAACAATATATTCAATCATGAAGTTTACTTTGTATCCTTTGTTTTTCAAACGTGCAGGGACACCCAGTTGCTGCCTGAGCTTAAAACTTAGGCTTCAGGAAAGTCATCACATGGATTGGCTGTGCTTGTGGGGGATTGAAATGAGTTTCTTAAATTCTATTTTCTTCATGCTATTTATTCTTGAGGACTGCTCCATTTATTTATTTTCTATCTTTCTGTGGTTATTTTAGTATTATTCTTATTATATTGTTCATATTCTTTGATTACAAGGGTGTGTTTGGCTGATGACAGTTTTGCATTTGTAAGATTGGTTTATGGAAATGTAAAGAAGATCCAATTATGGTTTGTCTTATTATTTGTTTGGAAGCATCAAGTTCGTGGTTCAGCTTGTTTCTAGCTCTGATATTTTTGCTCGTTGCCTGAATTTTTAGAAAACTGAAAAAATTTTATTCATTTGTGGTCGGGTCAAAAATAGAGTTATAATTCAATACGACTCAACGCTACATTTAACTAACTCGATAACGTTTGTACTCATAAATGTTTAATATTAATTTTTTTTTTTTGATGTCTAATAAAAAAACTGACAACAAATCTTAAAAGTATTGAATTTAATTCATGAATCTGTATCGTATAATAAATAAAACCTTAGAAGGCTGTTTTTTTTTTCCCTCAAACATTAAATTTAAGTTCATTTAAATTTTTTTAAAAGTTCTTAAATCTATAATTTTAAAAATTAGGTACTAAATATCTTTTTTTAGTTAATTTATATTCTTACACTTAGTTTTTGACGGAAACAATTTACTCTTACTCTTCTTCGGCACTCTCGTATTCTTCTTCTTTCATTCTCTAATCTCTAAGTCCCGATAATCTCTAAGTCCTGAAGATGAAAAATTGTTCATTCTATTTGAGGAAGTGGGTGGAAGCTTTGGAGATGAAGATGGCAAAGAAGATGAGAATGAGGTAAGCGGTCTTGACGATGAGGTTGGGCGGTTTGAAGCGGACATTAGAGGCAGGGGAAAGGGTCTTGCTGGAGTTGTTAGCGTCGTCGTTGCCATTGGTGGGCGACAAAGGAGGTGAGGAGGAGGAAGACGAAGAAAAGGAGGGCAGACCACTAGGGTATCGTAGTTGACTAGACACAAGAGGATGCAAATACACATACTACGTTAAAGCTGCCCATAAAAAAGGAAAATTTGATTAGGTTGTCTCAAGCTCAGTGTGAAAAAGGAAAATTTGATTAGGTTGTCTCAAGCTCACTATGAACTCAACAGACGAATCGTGTCAAACTCTAAGTCATGTGTTGCATTAAAACCGCTATCAAGGTACCCGTCATAATAAAATTTTGGATACCTAATCGTGACCAAGAGGGGAACCCAGTGGGTCATACCAACCAACCCTCAAGTTCCCTATTAGAGAAATTGTAGAGTGGTCGCTAATAAGAAAATTTGTTAAGAGAGATTTAATCCATATATGAGATGGACGTACAAGGTTTGATAGATTGAAAAGAGCCGATAAAACTAGGCACTAAAGACCCCGAGACTTGATGTATCTTAGAATCTTGAGTGAATCTTAGAATCTTGAGTGAACTCGATTGAGCCAATGCACCTAGATGACATTCTTCGATTGCCTACGAGCTATTTTTGTTTTTTTAATTAAATTTGAGAGCAAAGAGAAAATGTAAATAAAATTGTGAGTGTTTCTTTATGGATGTTCGTGGACTGAATATTTTTTTAGACCAAACCTAATTGTTCGGATTAAAAAAAAATCATTTTAATCAATTCTTATTAAATAATGAACTCAACTCAATCCAACCCAACCATAAATTTTTGAGTTGGACTAATTCGTTTGTTTCGTTAATTCTTAATACATCTATTTATTTATTTTCACACATCTAATTAGATTGACCACTCAATTTAAGTATATATTTTAAAAAATTACCTTCCATATGATTAAAAATTATTTGTAGATGTCGATGAAAGATAAATAATTAAATAAAAATAAAAATATGTATATATAACTAAATTGTAAATATATATATATTCTTTAACAAATTAACAACATGAACCAATCCATAATTCTTTTTCCATTTATTGCAATAAACCTAATTAGACCAATGATTCGTTATTGTAATAGATAGCAACAAACATTTCAGGAAAGCCATCTTTTTCTCATTTGTCATTTGATCCAATAGCATTCCGTTAGATAGGAACAAATTCCACGTTACGAAATATTCTAATTATAAACCAACTTCTCCAACTTCTCCACATCCCGTTCAAAAGTGTAAAGCTTAGTTGTACCAATCGTATTAGACATAAAAAATTTACGACAAAATCAAATTAAACATCCAAATTAAACATCCATAACGCATAAATAAATTTTAAAGTGTAAATTACAAACGTATTAGATGCTATTTAGATCCAATAAACTATTAGGTACGAACATAAAAGTGGACGTCCAAAGCAAAATCATGAGAGGTTATGCAAAGTCAACAATATCATACCATTGTGGAAAATCGTGTTCACCATTGTGGAAAATCGTGTTCATCTAACCTAGTGTCAGAGTCAGGCCCTAAACTTAGTCATGCCCTAAACTTTTGTTCGACATTTGAGGATTCTATTGACATAGCTAAGACTCAACAAAAAAAAAAGAAAAAAGGAGTCAAACCTCAATTAAGGAGAGGCGCACTTTGTTCGAGGAAACTACACTAAACTTATAACTTAAGATGCAATTGTCAAAATTTTACACACTGAATTATAATTCAAGACCAAAACTATATATCTAACCTAAACTAAATTTTTTAAAAGCAGATTGGGAAAATGGTAAATGCACATGGAGCCAACAAGCACCTAACTTGTCCAGATGTAAAATGTAACCATGAACAAGAGATTAACACCTTTTAAGAGATAAGTCTAGAAAATCAAAGATTTGGAAGTCACTCTACAATCGAATCTGATCAAGACTTGATTGCATGACTCAAATGTAATCTACCACAAGAATGACATGAAACTTAGAAATGACAAAGATGATGCTCAAATTTCCAAGAAGAAAAGTCTCAAGATGAATTTCATTTCAAAATCTCTTGAGGACGGACTTTTAATTAAAAAAAAAAAAAAAAACTAAACGGGGTCTTCAATTACAAAAGGAGGAACAAAAAATACTTCAAAACTCAATACTTCACCAAACTAATATCAATTATTGGGCATCGTGAGTAATTAAAGCTATGATATGTGATTATTTCGATTCTAGCATCTCAAAATTCTAGCCATTAATATGAATGAACATATTACCATATCCCACATCAGTTGGGGAAGAGAACGAAACACCCTTTATAAGGGTGTGGAAACTTTTCCCTTGCAGACACATTTTAAAGCCTTGAGGGGAAGCCCGAAAGGGAAAGCCCAAAGAGAACAATATCTGCTAACAGTGGGCTTAGGCCGTTACAACTAAAATGGGGATAACAATCAACAGATGACCAAAATATAAGAGTAAATAAATATGTGTGTGCATGTGTAAAGATTTGGAGAGAAAAACAGTGAAATAATCTGTAAATCAGGTAAATGATGTATTTACTGATCAGCCAAATGATTTTGCTTGTCTATACGCATAATCTGATGGAACATGGAAAGAGAATGACATAAAAGCATTAGAGATATTCCTTGAATCATGCACCTTTAATACTTGTTCATCTGATTGCTCCCAGTAAATTGGCTCCATCAAGCCTCGCACCTTCCAACTGCTATAAAATTAAGTAGATATCGAGTCAAAGCTTGAGATAGGGAGAGGATTAGTTTCTGAAGTAAAAAGAACGAGTAACAACAATGTCTACATGATCTTACAATTCGACTTGCTTTACTTACAGTGTCCTTAAGATTCACGTATCGCAAATAGGCTCGTTGAAGGTTTGCACTCTTCAAATTGGCGTTTGGAAGTTTTGCGCCCTACAATCAGTTAAGGTTAGGGAATTTGGTTTCTAAAGCCAAGGAAACATGGTACTCAAAATAAATTTTACCTTCAAATTAGCTCCTTCGAGATTAGCTCCCTCTAAGTTGGCATTAGTTAGATCAGCACCCTGAAATTTTGCGATAATGGTACAAGCATTAGTCCCTATGACGTGAATTTAGCTTATGATTCAACCTGCGTATAGTTTTTAATGTCTATTTATCATTTGAATATCCCTAACTCCTGAATGAGAGCAGAAATTGGCCAGCAAAGGAGCAGAGAGACAACCAAAGAATCATGGTCCAACAATGAACGTTCAAACTGACACACCGAGGCTCAGCTTCATGTCCACCCCCTTCGAGGCTCAACTTCCTCGCTGACGCATCGCCCAGTGTCTGGCTCTAATACCATTTGTAACTGCCCAAGCCCATTACTAGCTGATATTGTCCTCTTTTGACTTTCCCCTCAAAGTTTTTAAAATGCATCTTCTAAGGTGGTTCCCCAGCCTTATAAAGAGTGTTTTGTTCTCCTCTCCAACCGATGTGGGATCTCATAATCAAACTCAAGTGAAGATGGACGATAAGGATGGGAAATGGGCAGCAAAAGGGGCTCTATCCCCTGACCAACAATCCTCCACAAAGGTAATTGACAACCCATCCCCGACAAAGAACCAAAGAAAGCTAGAAAATTTTAAGGACTCCACAAGTTCCTGAGAGTGCCTGTGATCTCCACGGGCTCCTGGGAGTGCTTTTGATCCTACAAATAGAGACTAAATTGGTAGGTAAAGAAATGCCTCATTCGACAGGTGAAGAAAGTATTCCCTGAGGCATGATGCTTGAACCTTTTAATCAATGGGTTCTAGAAGTAAACACGACTAGGACTATTTTCCAAAGGAAGACCGGTTGAAAGAGCGACCTTAATTATATTTTTATAATTCTTAACTTTGGAGATATTTGTGTAATTCGATTAAATAGGAGAACTAGTTGACCTCCCTAATTTATCGGTATTGTCAAGGATTTAATGTTACCCAGAGATTTATTCATATTTATTGTTATCTAGTATTTAGGGATTTTTGTACAATAAAAGGCACATGTATCTCTAGAAAAATTGGGAAGGAATGCGAGCAAGATAATTTATGCTTGAAATAGGGAATCAAAATATCTCTTTTGTTGGATCGGTATGATAACCCTAATTAGAAGGTGAAAAATATGAAAAACAACTCTCTAAAAGAATAGTTCAAGTCAAAACAATAAACAATTATAAAAAACTTAGAACGAAATTTTGAAATTAAACAGAAAAAAGTTAAAAAATATAACACGTAGTTTTAGAGTGGTTCGGTCAAACTCGGCATACTCCACTCTCTAAGTGCTTCTTGAGAATTTGAATAAAACTTTCTTGACTCTTTCCTTGGATCATAAG